CTTTCAGCTTAAATGTTGCCTCTCTGGAGAGGCCTTTCCTCATCACACTAGGCCTCTCCACTAATTTTCTCAAGTCTCGTTGGTTTTCTCTCTTTGGGTATCTACCATGATCTGGTAATTGTTTTGCTTATTTATTGGGTTACTTATTTACTGTCCATTTTCCCTAGTAGCATGTCAGCTCCATGACAGCAGCATCATTGTTTCTCTTGTTCACCACTGGTTGGCAAATAGTATGTTCTCAATAAATGGTTGTTGCATGGATGGATGGGTGGATGGATGGATGGACGGACGGACGGACGGATGGATGGATGGATGGATGGATGGATGGTTAGATGGATGAATGGGTGGCTAGATAGATTGATGGGTAGATGGGTGGTTGTATGCATGAGTGGATGTATAGATAGGTGGACAGATGCATGGGTAGATGGGTGGATAAAAGGGGGGGTGGATGGATGGGTGAATGAGTGGGTGGGTAGATGCATGGATAGATGGATGGATGAATAGATGGATGGATTGATGGCTGGATGAATGGATGACCTACAGGAATTCTTTAAACTTCAAGACTTTGGGATTATGAGTCCTTAGGGGATATGACTTCAGGAGAAGGTGAACCAGATTTGAAAGTTAAGTGCACTGTTTTGACCCCAGTGGTGGCTCTTGCAACAATAGGAAGGCAGGTGAACTCATGGTTCACTTTTGGGAAGAGGAATTTCCAGCAATGAAAATGACCCCACTTTCTCCTCTTTCAACATCATACTCCTTCAGTTTATTTTCCCATGGACCAAGATGGGAGATACAATTTCTATACCTTAAAAAAATCTCATAATTGCACCCACCCTAGATTCTCCATCCCTGAGTAGCACCCCCAGTCACACAGGAACAAAGACCAGCCTGTTCTTGGCTAGACAGCCGAGCCAAGCCCAATCACTGTGTGGTATGTGACCCTGACTGGCTGGCTGAATTCTTCAGCTGATAAGAAGGCTGCATCTCATTGCTGGAAGGGAGCATGCAGATTAGGTGAGTAGACCTCCCTGTGGCTCACTCTGTCATTGCCCTCACAGGGAACGGACCCCCAAGTTCCACAGGGTTTCCCCTTACTCTCCCCAAACGCCAGTTGTATTCTAATGATCCCTTAGTATCCAGGCTGCCTCTCTTTCTCTGGGTATCATTTGACAGCTGGACTTGACCAGTAAAACTAATGATGCCTCCATCAAACGGCCTTGGGGAGAGAGGCAGGCAGCTCAGAATTTAAAAAGCACAACGTAGAACAGCGTTCTGAATATAGGTGCTCTCTCCCTGGGCCTTGCTCCGTTGCCTTTAGTAAACAACTTCATTAGTTTCCCTGCATTTTGCCTAGCCACATCCCCAGATTCAGAATGGAGTTTTCCAGGGCCACTGTGTAGCGTGCACAGGTTGTACTCCACTCACTTCCAGGGACGTTGGGCACAGGAGCACAGTGTGAATGGCATCTTCCTGAAGTTGTACATTATGGCAGCCCCAGGAAGCCCTGCACAGACATCAGTTTCAGAGACTGGAGGCTTGGAGGCCTGAACAATGACACTTGTACCTGCGTGTACCCCCATCATGAAAGATCAGGGTCCTCGTGCATTGGGCTACATTTGGGTTGTTGGCTGTGGAATATTTCTACTGTCAGTTCAACAAAAAGTGTGATGATCACAGTGAAGCTTAACAAAGAAAATGCTATCTGGCAATTAGTAAACCCAAGTCAGCAGGACTGATGTGAAATTTATCATGTTGGGAACAGCACGTTCATTTGCGTGTGACAAATGTTGGCATGTGAATGCCGTGCCCGGGGAAGCTAAGGATGGATAGCTGCTTTTGTTTTTTCTGCCCCTACAGTTTTAGTTCAGATCCTCTTCTCTGCTCTGGGATACCAGAAGCAAGGGGTGCAGGAAATATACAATTGCATTTTGTGCAGAATAAGTAAGGAAGAGGTCGATGCTGTGAGCTGGGATGTGGGACATGGCTCTTAGACAGGAAAAAGTCAGGGTGAACAGAGGAGCAGTTTTGTTTAGTACCCAGGGGAGGGCCATTATGGAACTGCTTTGAAACCTGTCCCCAGAAGACCACAGCCTGGGCTCTGCCTGTATGACCTGGAATGTTGGGGGTGGGAGAGGCCCCTGCTCAGCCAGGTGCTACTTATTATGAATAAAAACTCACCTCCACAGCCCCAGAGTTATAGGCCAGCCGAGGCAACATTTACAGCAGAGGGATCACTGAAGCCTCCCCAGGCCTCTCAGCTTAGAGGCCAGCTATCATCTGGGTGGGTGGCTCAATCTGACTAGGGGGTCAGGCCCCAGATGCCTGTGGGAAAGTATAAGGGATTGGGCATTATTAGATCCACAACTTCCCCTCTGATTTCTCTTTTATGAACCTGCCTTTATAAACTTGCATGTGTTTGCTTTGGAAGAACATTTTCAGGGGGAGCCCAAAGATGTGACCTTCTCAGCGTGCCCTCTTCTCCACTGTAGGCAGGGTCTTTGAGCCACACCAAGGCGTAATGTGTTCTTGGATGTGAATAAAGCATTTATTGGGGTTTAAGACTTTACCATAGCTCAGGAAACCATTGGCACACAAGTGCCTGACTTTGAGTGAATGATACCAGAATTCTTGGCCCAGCAAAATGGTCCCCTACCTGCACCGTGTTCTTAGCGTCTCTCAGTTCCCTTCTCCCTGGGCTCTCAGGCCTTTCCTACTAACTTCTCCTTGGCTTCCCCTCTCCAATTGTCAATCTTTAGCCTGGGATTCTGGGAGTAAGAGAGTAGGAAATAGTGGGGAGATTTCATTTATTAAGCACCAACTGGATCCCAGGCACCACGTGAGGCTCTGAGAACGCAATGGAGAATTAAGCATGATCCCACCCTCTGTGAAACCTTTTGTCTAATGGAGATGAGCAAGAAGTGAGCAGCCTGTGACAACTTGAAGGGGAAATGCAATGACTGGATGGGCAGAGCCAGGTAAGGGAGGGTTAAATCATGATGCATTGAGAACACTGAGATAGGGGAGTGCTTTCTGGAGGAGGTGGCTCCTAAATGGAGATAGGAAGGGCAAGTGAGAGTTATTTAGGTGTAGAGGATGAAGATCTGAGGAGGCAGAGGTGTGGGCAGGGTTGAAACTGCTTTAGGAAGCTCAATGAAAGGGCAACGAGGGAGCGTGACAATACCTTCCTTCAGGCCTTATGAACAGACTGCAGTGGTCACACACTGAGATGCCCACTGAAAGTTAAGACCTGGGTAACCTCACAAACAGAATAATGGGAGTGACTTGTCTGCGAGGAAGTTGCTGACTGCAGCTGACCAGCTCCAGGGCAAGGTCAGACACGGGTCTAGGAGTTTGATTATGGTGGCTTAAAGATGACCACTAATTCTTTGTCATCCAAAGGCAGTCCATTTCCTCTCTCCTTGAATTTGGGCACAAAAATTGTCTTGGGACTTCCAAGTGCAGACTTTAAGATAGACAAACTTTCTTCCCTTGGAACCCAGTGGTTACACTGTGTGATGTCCAAGTCAAAGGAGAGGCCACATGGGGGTAAATCAAGGTGCTCTGCTCAACAGCCCTGAATGGACTCCAAGCCCACAGCCAGTATCAACTGCAACCATGTCAAACAGCCCTCTTGGTTTCTCCAGCAGAATTGAGTCCCCAGATGATTCCAGCTCTAATCAGCAACACCTGGAACAGAAGAACCACCCCACAGTGTTCAATCAACTCACAGAAACTTGGAGAGATGATAAATGATTGTTGTTTTAAGGCACTAAGTTTGGGATAGTGGATCACTGAAATATTAGACAAAGGCGCAGTCCTCTGAAGCAAAAATCAGTCACTAGTGCCAACCAAACTCCCCACATTAGCTCATTCTGCCAACAGTTTTAGAAGCTCAAGATTCCACTTTCCTATGTGACATATATATAAGATATATATGTAGGATATATATATAGGATACATATATATATAGGAAAACTATTCAGTATTCCTGAATTTTGTGTGTGTGTGTGTATATATATATATAGGAATACTATTCAGCCATAAAAAGGAATGAAATCATGTCTTTTGCAACAGCATAGATGGAACTGGAGACCATTAGCTGAAGTGCAATAACTCAGAAACAGAAAGTCAAACGCCACATATTCTCACTTATAAGTGGGAGCTAAGCAATGGGTACACACAGACACACAGAGTGGAATAACAGACGCTGGAGACTCCAAAAAGTGGGACACTATGTGAAGGGGGTGAAAGTTGAAAAATTACCCATTGGGTACAACGTTCACTATTCTGGTAATGGGCACACTAAAAGCCCAGACTTCACCACTATGCAATATATGCGTGTAAGAAAACTGCACTTTTACCCCCTAAATTTACAAAAATTAAAAATTAAAAGAAAATTTAACTTTCCTGATAGTCCCCTTTCCCCAATTCCACCTTCAACTAACTAGTAAGCATCAGTGGAATATGTTGTCCAAGGCACTTGAGGGGACAGGGGGTGTACGGAAGACACAAGAAAATACTCCCTGCTCTCAAGAGGTTCACTTAAATATTTGATAAGGTGAATATACCATCCCTACTCAGAATTTGTTCAAGCCAGAAGTTTAGATGTCATCCTCCATCCCTTTGATGGCTCTCCCCATTTAACATTAACAACGAATACGTGCTCAGTACCTTTAATATGCCAGGTATCACGAGTTAACTCATTTAGTTCTCAAAACCCTGTTAAAATAGTATTTCTTCTTTCCATTTCACAGGTGAGGAAATTGAGGCACACAGTTATGTCACTTGCACAAGTCACAAAGTTAGTTCGTGACAGAACTAGAATTGGAATCTTGGCCAGGTAATTCCAGATCTTTCACTCTTAACCATTCTATAGAATCAGCACCCATCTTTGAGTCAGAGTTTGAGATGCAAATTCTTTACTGTAGAGCCTTGATCAAATGACTTCATCTCATTGAATTAATATTCTTCTGCATAAAATGAGGTCACCATCTGCTTATCTAAATTGTTACAAATGGGACAGTATATGCACCATTCCAGATACCTAATCACAGCTCAATCGATGCTGGAGTCTCTTTCCTTTTTCTTTCTGCAGAAAACATGCTTTACATAGGATCTCTTAACTTAAAGAATGGGTAAACCATGGCAATAGCTTGCCTCAAATTGAATTTCTGGTATATTAGGCAGTGGCTTCTACTGAAGAAGTTTTGCGTTGTAGCCAGGCTCTATAATCATTGTAAATATGTTGCTCTAAGGCAAGAATTGACAAACTTTTTCTGAAAAAGGCCACATAGTCATTATTTTAGGCTCTGTAGTCTGTACAGTCTCTGCTACAGTACTCAACTCTGCCCTTGTAGTGGGAAAGCAGCTTAGATGGTATGTAAAGGAATGTGTATGGATGTGTTCCAATAAACCTTTATTTACAAAGCAGGCAGCGGGCCAGATTTAGTCTATGGACTGTTTAGCCCCTGCTCTCAGGTAAGTTATAGAGGTTCTGCTGAAAGAATCTCTTCCAGTCCTGGCAAAAATCTTGTAAGTTAGGAAATCGCCTAGAGGGTAAAATGAAGGAGCTTGGTGAGAGTTTTTATAAGCAGTGAAAATTCTGCCAAAGTATTCCCATGACTTTTGATATCCAGCATGGTATAACCCTGGCTCTATATCAAGTTTTCAATTCTGATATTGCAATTTTGAAAGTAGTTTGTAGAAACATAAGAATTCATTAAAAAACTCATTCAATGATCCACTTTGTAGCCTTGTGACTAATCCAGAAAGTAGAGTCTGTCTCTTTAGGAACATAACCCTCCCTAGCAAGGTTCCTGCAGAAAACTCACCCTTGGAAATAACACTAGGGGAAAAAAGTGTTTCATGGTAAAGTTTGTTTGGAAAAGTTTGCATATTTTATTCTCCCTCTTGGAGATTTCTAATGGATATAAACATACTAAAAAGCTGAGAATTTCTATAGTAACAAAATCCATTAATTTTGGTTAACTCTGACTTTTACAAACTCACTTGACCACAAAAACTTAGGTTAAAATATGGGATCTGGATTCAATAAAATGAGCATAAAAATACTTATCTCCTGGGGCTGGTGTGAAGAGTGCGTCTGATGAAGCGTGTGCTTAGCACAGGGCCTGTGAGAGAACACACAGGAACTACGTGTTGGCTGATACTTTAGCAGCACACTTGGGAAATGCTGGCCAAGACGATAATACACAAAGATATTCGTAAACTCAATTCTCATTATAAATTTCAAAAGAGTTAGTTAATGGTATTCCATATCATATAAGTGCCATAATCAATCTTTTAGAAATATTTTGTTCTCGAAAGTGGAACCGCCTGAGAATGGCCTGTGTTAAAACAAGAGGTGCATGGTGACCACCTCTTTATGAGACACCAGGATCCTCGGGGAGTTCTCACTGCAGCGTGGGCAGATAGTGGTCTGGAGGCTGAAGGCTGGCTGAATGGAAACAGTCAGCCTGGAAAGGGGGATGTGGATGCTGGTGGTCTCGCTCTCCTCCACAGCAGGACCCTTTCAAACCCCCTCCTACAAAGGCCAGAGGCCCCAGATATTGACACATGCCTTTAAGCCCTTGGATACTTCAAAGAAAGAAGATTAAGAGCCAGTCTCAGAACCTGTTCCCCAGAGAGATGCGTTTGTCCAAAAGTTGATATTATCGATGTGAGTGGAAGCTGAGAGGAGCGTATAATTTCTTTAATAAAAGCTGGACTGTGTTTGCTGGGGCTCCTGAGTTTTTCTGCTTCCTCCAGAGCATTCTCAGGGGCTGGGACGGCCTCCTATGATCGGCACGAATGTTTGATCAGCTATGCGTCTTCTCCGGGGCAGCTCAGATGATCCGAAAGGCTTCGGATCTCTGGTCGTCTCCAGAGTTTTCCTTCTTAAATTCTTTGTTTCCTTCAGAATTCATTATAAATGACATAATTACATCTCTTTTTCTTCTCTGATTGAGAATATTTCTCACACATGGTGATTTGCCACTTGGATGCAGGAGGAGACTGAGACACATGGTGATTTGCCACTTGGATGCAGGAGGAGACTGAGTGATGTCACATGCACCCAAAACACTGCATCTCCCTTCCAGAGCTGCACTGCCTCTCACCCAAGCACTCTCTCCCTTCAGAGCTGCACTCAGCTCTCACCAAGGACTCAACTCCCTTCCAGAACTGCACTGCCTCTCACCCAAGCACTCCTCTCCTTCCAGAGCTGCACTGCCTTCTCACCTAGCACTGTGTCTCCTCCAGAGCTGCACTGCTCTTCTCACCAAGCACTGCATCTCCCTTCCAGAACTGCACTGCCTCTCACCCAAGCACTGCATCTTTCTTCCAGAGCTGCACTGCCTCTCACCCGAACAATCCTCTCCCTTCCAGAGCTGCACTGCCTCTCACCCAAGCACTCCACTTGCCACTGTCGCTCGCCAACTTTCCCCTAGTTTGGGATATTGACAGATTCCCCACAAACCCATGAGAAAAAGAAGACTGTCTGGCTCAGCATGAAATTGAATTTCAGAAAATAATGAAAGTCCTTTGCAGAGAATGATATTTCCTAAGAGAAGACATACCACCAATTGGATGTTATCAAGAAAAAAATGGGGCATATATTGTTCCCTGTATATTTTATTTCTATATGATTGCTATAATTACTTGCTTAGAAACAAACATTCTATTAGACCATGGCATTCCAGCTCCAGTGAAAATAGAAAAGGGGATTTAATAGCAAATTATCATCTGTGACAAGAGAAATTTAAAATTAGAGGCCGGGCGTGGTGGCTCACACCTGTAATCCTAGAACTTTAGGAGGCTGAGGCAGGTGGATCACCCGAGTTCAGGAGTTTGAGACCAGCCTGGCCAACATGGTGAAACCCTGTCTCTACTAAAAAAAAAAAAAAAAAAAAAAAGCTGGGCGTGGTGGTGGGTGCCTGTAATCCCACCTACTAGGGAGGCTGAGGCAGCAGAATCGCTTGAACCTGGGAGGCGGAGGTTGCGGTGAGCCAAGATCTGGCCACTGCACTCCAGTCTGGGTGACAAGAGCGAGACTCTGTCTTAAAAAAATAAAATAAAACTAGAGACAGACACAAGAGAATTTGTTCATTCAGTCATTCATTCGTTTACTTCACTAACACTGACTGTGTTTCTTTCCGTGCCAGGCACCACTGTGTTAGGTATAATCATGGTGGTTGAGCAGTAAGAGCTTATACTTGTGGAGCACCTATTATGTGTTAAGTATGATCTCATTTAATTCCATCACATAGGAAGCAATCTTGTTATTAATATTATTATTTTACAGAGAAGGAAAATATAGCTTAGTGAAGCTAAATGGCTGCCCAAAGCCAGGGTAGCTAATAAGCAGCAGATGTTGGGTCTGATACCAAAGCCTCCAAGTTTAGATAAAGTGGCTACATTGCCACTTGAAGCAAGCAAAGTCCTTATTCTCATGGAGTTTGCATTCTAGTGGGGGAGACCGTCAATTGAAAATAGAGGCAAATGTATACACATAAATAAGCAAGATCATTTCAAATAGCAGTAAGAGCTCTGGGAAATATAAAATGGAGTGTTGTGCAAGGGAGAGACAAGGTGGAGGTGCTGGGAAGATACCCCACCCCAGTTGGACACTTGTGATGGCTGAACCAACTCTCTTTGAGCCTAGTTGTTTCATTTGAAGGCAGGAACCTGGGCAAGAGGATCCTTCTGTAGCTAATTTCATTCCACGGTTGCATGGGCAGCATGGGCCACCATTTACAACCCATGTTCTTCCTCTGTGTTCTAACATGTGGAGTTTTTCCAACCCAGACACAGCTAGACCACTAGATGTGAGCAGACTCAGATGCTACCTAAATAAAAAGTCACTCTTGTCCTTAAGCAAATAGTCCTACAGAGGACACCCAGATATGGCAGTAAACAAATGTCCAAGTGTTTCATGAAAAATACTAAAACACTCAACTGGTGGGCAGTGTTACCCTCCAAGCGACATTTGGCAATAACTGGAGACTTGTGGGGTTGTCACGAACTGGGGGAAGGATGCTCCTGGCATCTAGTGGGTAGAGGCCAAGGAAACTGCTGAACATCATACCATTCACAGGGCAGCCCCCTACAACAAAGAATTATCCAGCCAAAATGTCACTACTGGGAAATCTCATGCTACAGTGAGATAGAGAGATAATAGATAGATAGATAGATAGATAGATAGATAGATAATAGACAGATAAATAGACCGCCTCCTGGTTTTCTGGTAACTTTCTCTACCTCTGAAATCTGCCCCAAATTGATGGAGACAAGAGGTTTCAACAATTTTTTACTAAAACTTTCCATCAAAAGTCCAACCCAAAAAGTAGGGTCAGGAAAGCTCCCACATTTAAAATGATCTTACACAGCCATCAGAGAAAGAGAGGGACTCCCTTAAAGATGTGGAGAGAGAGTATCTAAATGTCTACTTGCATAAAATTGATAATACAAAACATGTCTCCATTAGGTTTTTTCTTAATTGAAACGATGCTTTCTTTCATCCCTGCCAGGAAGAAGAAAAATCGTGTTTCCAGCTTGGGCTGCTGTTTCATCTGCTGGACTTGCTTGTGAGCTAAGCCAAGTTTCATTAAAAATTATTGGTCTCATAACTTTTTTTGTTTTTTTGCTTTAAAGAGTCCCATATGGAACCAATATCATGATAGGACTGTAGCTGCACAAAGCCATTGGACATTTTGACCCACTCTCTGCTTCTCGGTAGATTCTAAGTACAGACCTAATTGATTTTTCGTTCAAGTATTAGGTGAATATCTCTGCAAACAAATCCAAATTTAGAAAGTTAGATTGAAGAAATAGAGAAGCAAATCTAGTCAGCTCACAGAAATCTTTCTTCCCCTCTCTTGCTCTGTCTCCAAGGGAACCTCTACACCTTCTTTTAAGGTGTCAGCCATCTTGAGCTCTTGTCTGATTAAGAAATTCTCTGGTAGAACCAGAGCATCTGCAAAAGCGTAAAATATGATCATAGCCTTTGTATAAGTATTTTAACAACCAAATCTTATGATAGGTTATATTTCATTGACTCGGAAGAAACATTGCATTATCTGGGAAAACAGCACAGATGTTGCCTAATAAACGTTTTGGTTTATGCATTGTATTAACCTCATGAAACATTTATGCAAATCTCACATTAACAAAAGGTAAAAGAACCATTCTGTGTTACGAAGCATACAACAGGATGATCTTTGTCGTGTTTTTGTTGTTGTTGTTGCTGTTGTTTTTACCTTGGTATTTTATGGGTGTGTTTGTAACTCTTGGGGTTTCTATTTAGGAGGACACAAGGGCATTGCAGATTTTCATCTCTTCTGTTTTCAGTTCTGTTATCATCCCTTCCAGCTGACTTCACATTTTATGATGCTAATGGGGGGTGTGTGGTTTTGAGTTTCTCTCCTGTCAGCTGGTCAGTGGGTCTGAGGGATATATTTAATAGAATCTGACAGCTGATGGAGCTGGCCTCATTGAAAGAGGATTTGATATGTGGAGTGAATGTGGCGACCCTGAATTCGCCATAATAACGGCCATTATTATTCTGCCTCTCGCAGCCAATATAACTCTCCCTGTTGTACACACCAGTACATGTGTATAAAAGACATGACTTATGGATGGCTTCTTCCGTATACTGATCTGAGGGCCATTTAGATAGCATGTCAAAACAGATTAACTGTCTTATCCTGCCACAAAATTAAGGGGGAAAAAAAACTTTATACATCTCTGCCCAATATTAAATGCACTCTGTGCCCCTAAACAAAGCCAGCAGAGAAGGGGCACAGATCATCTCTGGGTGGGGGTTAGGAGAATCAGGCACCCAGAAAAGCTGCAGGCTCACCCAGTTAAGGTGCCCCCTCCAGTGAGGACCCAAGGGCACTGCCTGAGATATTGTGAGGGCAGCTGCAGCCACAGGTAGGAACCTACCTCCTGAAAGGCTGGTGCCATGCTTTAGCTGTGTGCATGTGCCTGGGATGTTGGGGTAGGCGTTGGCTCACCTCGGCCCCTGCTGAACTGGACTCACTGTTGAAATCAACATCTCAACCTGCATCCTGGCAACCTGAAACAGCCACATTCTCTGCCAAACCTGCCTGCCTACTGGTTACTAAAGTTCGCTAACATTTATCGTGTGCTTGTTCCGTGCTGAACTTTACCTGCAGTGACCCTTTTATTCTTCCCAAGAACTCTAATCTGTAGATATTAGTATGATTAATTATGATTATCACTCCCATTTTACATATGAAGAAACTGAGAGAAAGGCAAGCTAAGTAACTGGTCTCCAGTCACAGCTGATGATCAATGGAGCCAGGATGGAATCTCAGGCCATCAGAGCCCATTGCCACAACAGCGACAGTCCTCTTCTGCTTCTGTTTGTCCCCCAGCCAACAAGAAGTATGTGTGACTGTGTGTCTGCATACACATGCATATGCACGTATAAAAATTCTTAGACCCAAATGTCCCCCTAGAAATCATCTTCACCCCCCTCTCCCCCATTAGCTGCAGCCAAATCCCCACTCAATCAAGAAAGTTACTGTGATTTTTTCCTCTGTAAACTGGGCACCTCCCATCCCATGGGCTGGCACAAAGACAAGGGGAGAACCTGTGTGCACCTCGCACAGCACCAGGCCTGGGAGGTTGGCCAGGAAGCACTCATCTCTCCTGTCCTTCATTTCCAACCTCAGAAACCCACCCCTGTTCCCTGCCTCCTGTTTACAAGCTGACCTCCCTGTCTTCAGCCATGCAACACTCCTGTCTGAGGTTACCATTTCAGGCAATGATATCAGAAGCAGTTGATTCCACATTTCTGAAAAGAATCCTTTTATTTATCTACCGTCATCTTCCAGTAAAAAAAAAAAGAAAAGAAAAGTAAAATGGCTGCAGAGAAGCCAGCAGATGTGTCCAGGGTACCTGAGGAAAGCAGGCCAGATGCTAGGAGATATCCTCATGGCTGTCAGTGTTTAAATTACATAGAGCTGGTACTTTTTAGGTCAGAAGCATAAAACCTACTATTGATCTTGAGCAATGCGTCCAATTTTGAATGTCTGTTAAAGCCCCAGGCACTTCAATGCCACATAATCAATATTTCTTTTCGTTCTTTCTTTCTTTTTTTGTTGTAGAAAATGTATGGGTTTGTTTACCCTTCCTGCAGGCATCCAACCTGGCCTTTTATTCCTGCTCAAGTAGGACACGCAGCCTGCTGGGGACCCGCGGCTCAAATCCTCAGTCTGCAGGACTGCCATCCCTGGGACTCATGAATAATGGAAGTGCAGTACCCACTCCTTACAGCCCAGACGACTTTCCAGGAGCAGGCTGTACCCCTAAAGCAACCAAGGAACAAGGGGCAAGGAGACAGAGAGAGATGAGGAAATGTGAGACCATGTTTAGCTGAGTGTAGACCCTAAGATAAGATAGTACTTGCAATCTTGAAATTTAGAGTAGAAAAGGGCCTTGGAGATTATCTGGGGGAAACATTCCCTTTCAATCTGCAGATGGAAAAACTGGCCAAGGCTCCTTATGCCTGAGTTGTTGAAATGGTCCAGGGAACACGAGCTGGGCCATATGGAATATGGATTAAGCTTTGAACTCTGTTAAGAAAAGGGTTTCAGGTCGACCAGATGACCACAGCAGTCTTCCTATTCTGACACTGAGGACAACCTAGTAAGCAAGCCAACCAGGTAGACTGGTGTGATTCGAAGCTATGCGGCCTTTGTGTCCCTGCCCAAAGGCCTGGTGGCTATGTCTGTGGTGGTGATCTTGAAGAAGTGTCTTCTTCTACGGGCTGCTACATAGATTTGGCCTTGAAGGATGAAGAGCACAGAGAAGAGAAACTGGTGAGGAGTAAGGGGTGGGGACAGAGGTAAGAAGACAAAATGACAAGTGTTGCAAAGACAAAAGTGAGAAGCAGCATGGTGCATTGATGGACTTGCAAATAGTTCACATGAGCAGCAGAGCACAGGGTATGGAGGCAGCAAGAGAGACGGTATCACAGGAGCCTGGCCATGCCCTGCACTGAGGAGTTTCCAACTCTTGGCTTTGAAGCCTTTTGAATCAGGCAGTGATATAATCAGTGCTGCACTGGAGAAAGTTCATGTTGGCTGGAAGGCAAAGAATGGATGGGAGGAAGCGAGACTGGGGTCAGGGAGCCAGAGAGCAGATTACTCCAGAGGCCAGGCAGACCCTGATGATGGCCAAACCAGGAACGGGTTTCTCATATTCACAAGGAGGCTCTGCAGGATCGGAGGGAGGGTCTGGATAGATAAAGTGATGGGAAGATCACAGTTGTAGGCAAGGTCACTTAAAAATTCTAGCATTACATGTGAATTGTCGGGGATTACTGTGTGACTTTTGACAAGTCACTTAACCTCTCTGAGCTTCAGTTTCCTTACCTATAATGTGAGAATAACATGGGGATTTCATGATTAAATGAGGTAATACATGAAAGTGTTTTCCGCAGTGCCCACCATGTAGTAAACCTTCAGTAGGTGACATGATGTGTTTTGAAGTAGCATCATCTTTTTTTTTTTTTTTGACAGAGACTCCCTCTGTCACCCAGGTGATTTTTCTGCCTCAGCCTCCCAAGTAGCTGGGACTACAAGAGCACACCACCATGCCTGGCTAATTTTTGTATTTTTAGTAGAAGTAGGATCATTTTTAACCCAGTCTTGAAATAGATAGCTTGAGTCCTAAGCTGTTTCCAGGAAGCACGCTGGAGTTACTTATCTAGTGCAGGAAGACAACAACATAAACACATACCTATCTATCTCCCAGATTCCCCAGAAAATGACCAACTGTATATAAAAATAAAAATAAAAATAAGAAAAAACGTATCCATACTGGGTATTAGCGAAGGGTGGTATGTATAGGCCGGGAGGTCTGAGGAACATCTGTTAGATACATGGCAGATGGGCCAGATTGAAGAATTCATGATTTCTAGAATGGGAAGGAGTGGTCTGTTTGATAGAAATTTCAAAACTGTCTTTGCAGATCCTCACCAACAGCCCTGCTGCAGTGAGAACTGGAGGAGAGAGTAGGCTAAAGCCTCTAGAACTGGTCAGTGCCACAGATAAGTGGCCATGGTGTCAGGGGCACAGTGAAGGGGAAACCCAGACCAGCAATTCCTTGGAACTAAATCCTGAAGCCAACTTACAGCCAGGCCTGGGTCAGGGCACAGCCCTAGCAGACTACTGGCAGCCGAGCTTTAGTAGACACGAATTCTCATCTTACCAGCATTCCAGCTCCTCTTACTCTAGTAATGACTCTGATTTTGAACTTGGAGTCAACCCTTCTCTTCATTCTGAGTCCACATGGTCTGGAAGGATCTCCAGGATGAAGTTCTTGACCTAGGTCTGGTCAATCCAGCACAAAATAGACCTTGACACAGTGATTGATTCAGGAATGGTCTCAGCACTCAGGGTGGTCCAATCTCAAAAGTTTAGTGGGAGTCCACAATAAGATATGACTTCACAACATAAGCATGGCTGCCACCAGATAGAGAGATCTGAACAAGACTGGCAAGGAAGTGGAGAAATTGAATGCTTAGACACTGCTGGTGTGAGTGTAAAATAGT